ATATTTAGTAAGTAGAAAATGCATGTTAAAATCTGAATACTTTTTTGAATGTAGCTGAAATCAATTTAAACCACCAGCAGACACAGTACAGTACGCCGATTATCTGTACTAAAAATAATGCAAAAAATGTAACATAGAAAAAGAGGCATTAGTTTGAAAACCAATAAATAAACTGACTTGGAGAAATATATTTAGCCAAACACACACGGCCCCTATAAGCAACACTTCCTTCCCTTCTCTGACTCAACACTTGCTGGTCTCTCCATCCTCATGTTCTGATTGTCTCTAGCAGCTGGAGGAATCAGTAAGACCTACAAGTCTGTCCTGCTTCATCTGCACTCTGCTGGTCATACTAGAATGGGGAATTAGGAGAACACCAATTTAATTTAATATCATAACTCAGCAAAAGGCATATTACATCTAATTCGGAATAAAACTAAGTACAACACACACACACACACCAAATAATAATAAACAGAAATTATGTGAATATCCTCCTTCGGCCTGTGACCTACCAGCTTAGTTTTACATTTTACATCTGGAAGAAAATATATATTTAAGAGTTACGTTGCCTCCCCTCATCGACAGAACTGATTATATGCTTGGTAAATAAATCATCTGCACAGTCACTTGACGTGTGGGGCAGATTAACGTGCACCTGATAACATTGGTGCAACGATCCGCTGTTTTCCCATTTTAGCGTCAATGCTAGTTAATACACACACACACACACACACACACGGAGGATTACACAACAGTTTTTAACACATATTTCCTCCAGATATATTTGGTATTTTCCACGCTTAAAGCCACTCGACAGAGGTGCGCTGGTTAACGAATATTACACAAGCCTAGTTTATGAACTTTACCTAGTGCTAACATTAGCTAGCACAATATGCTACCGGGGATCACGGCAGACAAAATATGTGACTGTCGTCATAAGTTGAGTAAGATTTCTTCTTTGAAACAGGGTGGACACTTTAGAAGCTGCTAAACGGTGTAATTTTGTGAAGATTACTTACCATCACATTCTGTGTCCCGTCACCGAAGCCCTGCAGTTCGGGACAGAGTTCTGAGATCTCAGGGAGTCATCCGCTTTAGTCAGCGCTAACCAATCGGAACACGTCTTACATCGCTCGTCCTTAAGCCCCGCCCCGGATGTTCATGTGAAATTCTCAACCAAATAAAGTTGAGTTCAACCAAAAAACAGGAGCTTAAAAAAAACTTGGATTCAACTAAAAACTTAGGCTGTCAACCAAAAAATTCTGATATGCAAAAATAAAAGTTTCAAACAAAAATTAGTGATTTCAATAAAAAAAAATCTCTTAAACATGGTTTTGTTTTGTAAAAAAATATTTTTATAATTAAAAAGTTTTTAAGGTTTTTTTTTTTGTTTTATTTTTTTTTTTTGATTGAATACTACTTTATAATTGTGAAACAAATCTAACTCCATAGGAAACCATGAGGTGGAAACAAATGGGCAATCAGGAAAACCGTCCAGGAGAGGATGGGGAAACAAACCGTTTAAAATATCAGGGAGATTCAGAGAGAGGCCTGCAGCTGGAGTCAGGAGGGACGGACGGATAGACGGACAGACCTGGTTGCAGCTGTCGCCTTCCTCATGTCAGACCTGAACCAGACGCAAACGTCTCACCTGGACTGAACACAAGCAGGATGGACTGCTGCTCTGTTTCCTCTGTTCTCTGATTAAAGTAAATTCTTAATTTCCTCTCAGTCTAGAGGAAGAGCAGAGCTGATGGACGCCTTGGTCTTTAGTAATATTCTAATTTTCTGAGATACTAAATTTGGGATTTTCAAATCATCAATATTAAAAGAAAAACATTTGAAATATATCAGTCTGTGTGAATTAATGGATATCATATACAAGTTTCACTTTTTGAATGGAATTACTGACATAAATAAACCTTTTTCATAATATTTTATGATGTTCTAATTTGATGATCTGGAGCTGAATATGTGATTGAATTGAAATTATTTTTTGTAAAATGCTTTGAAATGAGATTTGTTGTGAATTGGTACTATAGAAATAAACTCAATTCAAAATCCAAAATGGAATTTAATTATTTATGAACAACAACAACAATAATAATAATAATAATAATTAATAAGCTCCCGGCATGCTGAGGAAATAATTACACACACACACAAATGTGTGTTTATATACCTTCATCATATATGTATATATAAATTCAATTCCCACCCTCTGGGGTGT